GAAAAGCATGTTACCTTCTGATTTATCCACTGAAGCATGTTACAATGCAGGTGGCATGTCACAGAGGAAACACAGCTTGTGATCAAGTTTTCTATTCATAGAAGACAGCGTTGTGCCAAGCAACCCCAACTGCAAAATGTTTGAAGTCTGAAGGAAAAAAAGAGCAGTGCAGCTGGAATCCCATTTCCCCTCCTAAGAAGTTACAAGCCAATATGGATATCTCCCATGCCTGAAATCCTGCCTTTTCTTTTCTCTTGGGTCCTACTGTACTTTGGCTTAGAGTATTGAGAGTATTGGGCTTTGGAGGGAAATTCCATTTGCTTTCTTCCCTTTTGTTTCTCTAATGCATTTTAGGTCTTTGTGATTTAGTGTATAAATGTTACAAAATCATAAATGTCGGCTTACATAAATCATTTGTAAATGGTTAAGTATTCAAGCAAACTGTTCATCATCCCATTCTCCTTGATATGTTCTCGTATTTACCAGGCTGCCTTATGCCTTTTGCAAGTCTTTTCTCAGATCTCACATTTCCAAAAACATCCTCACTGGCGATAAAGAATTAAAACAGCAGCTATTCCATCTCATCTTCATCCCTTTCCCCAGGTCAATGGTTATCTCTCTTTACTATCTGAAAGGAAGTTAAGATGAAACAAAGTAGGGACAGCAATTATATTAAAGTGGGAAGAAACTGATGTTTCTTCCTTCTTGACTTGTGCCAGAATTTACATGTTTATAACAGATAAATGTTTGAGTGTTTTTAACATGAAAAACAAACACAAATGTGCACTTGCATAAAAATAGCACCACATCCTGATTTTGGTACTATTTTCAGATGCATCTATTTTACTATTGTTACATATCCCTATACTGTAAGCATTAATACTGTTGCTTTGCATGATTTCATGCTTTATATAAGCATATGTAAAGCATATATGTGAAGCTCCCTTGTGTTTATGTTTCTGCTGAGTACAGAGGCTAACGATAAAAAGTATTTGGAATACTTTGATTATAAGCCAGAACTGTCACTGAAGAGTTTCATCTGCAGAGTATGTTATACTATGCTTTCTAGAGAGAACTTTTTTCATTTCATTGTTTTTAAGACCTACCTATGTCAGTAAACATAGATTTAGTTCATTTCTTTTCATTGCTATAATAGCATACAACTAACCCATATCCTGTTGATGAGTATTGAGTTGGTTCCTTGTGGCCTGTTGGCCAGAGGCTGCCTTCACTTCTTAGCCATATTAAGCCTTCATGGAGTATCTCACAGGGCAGCTTCATCAAAGCCAGCAAGGGTTAAGACTTGCCAATAAGATACAGATCAGAATCTTGAGTAATCCACACACAGACATGCCATCCTTTGCATATTCTATTGGGCAGAAGCAAGTCACAGGTCCTACTCATACTCAAGGGGACGGAATTGCCCAAGAGTGCGAATACTAGGAGGTAGGATCATTACAGACCATCCTATAGTCTGTTCGCCACAAGTAGGTCTAACAGTTAAGGATGGTGGTTAGCCTGGCACTTCAGATCCGAGTAACAGTGGCCTAAACAAGACTAGAGATTTATTTCTCTATTATTTACATGCCTGGATAGGTGTAAGGCTGACATAGCAATTTCATAATCATTGGGAACCCATATTATATATATCTCATTGATCTGATGAGAACAACATAGAGCTACTACCTCATTATATAAGATAGCTTCCCCAGCACTTGCTGCTGTTCTGACACTCACATCCATTCTACAAACTGCAGCCAGAGCAATTGTGCTAAAATGCAAACCTGACAGTGTTACTTCTGCAGATGAAACTCTTTGGTGACAGTTCCAGCTTATAAACAAGTATTCCAAATACTTTTTATCATTAGCCTCTGTACTCAGCAGAAATATGCAAGAGAGCTTCAAAAAGTACGTGGGAGGGCCAGTAGGCTCTGAACTCCCACATGGCCAAGTGCATTCAAGTCCCAATCTGGTGTCTTAAAAATCACGCTGGGTACAAATACATGCATACCCAGAATCCTGGGAGGGGAGTGGAGGAGAGGGGATTACATCATAGCCACCATCCACCCTGGGGAATGACTTCTCACTTTCCCTCTTACTGTTTCTGTATGTCTGTCACTGTGAATGTATGCACCCTATGACAAAAACCTAAAAAAATAAATTGGGTAGGAGGGCCAACTGGTGGTGAGGTGGTTAAGGCAGCTGGAACCCACACGGCTGACTAAATGGTTTGAGTCCTGAATCTGGAGGCTTTGAAAACACACTGGGCACATATGCATGCCCAAAATTCCAAAAGGAGAAATGAAGGAGAAGGAATTGTGTTATGGCCCTACCTGATGCAGGAGTTCTTTCTCACTCCCCCGACTCCCTTCTCTCTCTGATGAGTACATATGCCTTCTAACAAGGGGGTGGGGGCAGAATGCATATTATAAAAAAAATTATGCATAGATTTCAATGTTTAAGTTTTATTTTATCCATAATAAAGACACGTGTGTGTGTGAGAGAGAGAAGCACCCTTGACAGATCTTTTCATGCCTCAATCCACCTTCCCCAAGCCCTCCAGCTCATCAGGATCCTGGGCACACACCACACCAGGTATGTTTTTAGACCAACCTAGGGATACAAGCCTCAAATGTTTTGCACCAATAGAAATGTGTACTTTAATTCTATTTTTCCATACCCTGTAGAACCCTATGCCCCCATCATTAGTATTTTACTTCCATTTACCATGATTTTTTTTTCCTATAGTGCACATGTGCTTGCTAGAAAGAGAGAGCAAGCGAAAGAGAGAGTGAGATAATAGCAGCCCACAGGGGATGACCACACCATAGTTCCTTGTCCTTCATTTTTCTCTTGGGATTTTGGGCATGCACACACATGTGCCCAGTGTGTATTTCAAGCCACTGAGTCGGAGACTTGAATCATGCAGTTGGCCATGTGGGCTCCAACTGTCTTAACCACCATGGCCCCTGGGTTGCCCGCTGTCAACTTTCTGAAGTTCCCAGGTATGTACACTCAACCCCATATACAGGCTGAGCATCCCTAACCCGATTTCCAAAATTCTCAAAGTCTGAAACCTTTTAAGTGTCATGACACCACAAGTGTCCTGACCTCGTGTGACAGGTCACAGCCAAAACACTAAAATTCAAAAGTAATGTAATGTATAAAATTACTTTCAGGCTATGCGTATAAGATATGTACGAAACACACATGGATTTCATATTTAGACTTGATATTCCCAAGTTATCTCTTACATATATGTAAATATTCCAAAATCTAAACTGCTTCTGGTCTCAAGCATTTCAGGTAAGAGACACTGAACCTGTATCTATAACCGAAACATGAGTTTCGTCAATCAAAACTCACTTCCATTTACTACCTGCCATGCACTCTGATGTTCCCTATTCTATTTCCTTCCATTGACAGTTAGTTCATGAACTACTAATGGGTGTGGGGAAATACTGCACGACAGGATACAATGCAGAGAGTACGGACTGGCCTGCTTGCTTTTCCTTGCCTCTGTACTCCCACCCTCCTCATGTTCGCAGATTTCTGTGCCAACACACCACCTCCTCCTGCCTATGCCACTATCCCCCACTGTACCTTCAGGCTTCCCAGCTTCTTCTTGCCCTTCTTGAATCAGCTCAAGCGTTGTTTCTGGGCCCCATTCCCTGACTCCTGTCCTTTCCCTGTGTGCCCTATAGAACCCTTTGCCCCATCATAAACATGTACGGTAATTCTAACCATCTGTTTTCTCACTGAACAATCAGTTCCTTGAGAATGAAGATCATATCTTTACAGTTTCGTATCCCTAGCCCTACGATAGTGCCTGACATAAAGTCAAAACTGAAGAGACATTTTGTATATGAACAAATAAGTGAATCAATGTCATAGAAAAAGAAGTTCCTGACAATACATACTGAAACATTGATTGCAGGGGCTGGCAGGTGGCATGGTGGTTAAGGGCGCTGGACTCCCACATAGCCAACCACGGTTCAGGTCCCGCACCTGGAGACTTGCTTTCTCACTTTCTTGCTCTCTCTCTCTCAATCTGTCCCTCTCTGGTCAAATTACAATCAATCAATCAAAGTTAAATAAAATCTTAAAAAGAAAAATCTATTACATAGAGTGTTGTATTGGAGAGAATTATGAAAAAAATAGTTGATATTGACAGCGCTAAATAAAAAATAGGTATAAAATGACCTGTGTTCACAAATAGGGATTGTCTTTATATCTACAACTAAGTGCCATCAGATGTCTCACTTGCAGTGGATTGAATGATGAAAGTGGGTTTGTGGACCAGCAGATGGCATAATGGTCACATTGCTGGCCCCCCACTTAGTCGACCGCAGTTTGAGCCCTGGACCTGGCTACTTAGAATTCACACTGGATACATGTACGTGCATGCGCAAAATCCCAAAAAGAGAACGGGGGAGAGATTATGGTGTAGCCAACTCCCTGGGGAGTTATTCCTTGCTTTCTGTCTCTCTTTTGAGTGCATGTACCTTATAGCAAAAGTCTCTTTTTTTTTTTTTTTTTTTTGAGAGTTTTTTTCGCTATAGGGCATGTGCGCTCGCCAGACAGAGACATAGAGACAGAAAGCGAGAAATCACCCCCAAGAGGGGATGGTCACGCCACAATCCCTTCTCCTCCATTCTCCTCTCGGGATCTTGGGCACGCACACGCGCCCGGCGTGAGTTTTAAGCCACTGGGTCTGAGATGCGAACCACGGTCGACTACGTGGGAGTCCAGCGACATAGCCATTACGCTAGCTGCTGGTTCTTGCAAAAGTCTCTTTTAAAAAAAAAAAAAAACTGCGTTTGAAAGAACCCGTTTCTTTCATTTCTTCTCTTAACCGATTCCCTATTTTCACCTCTTTTGAGAGAAACCTCAGACATCCCTCAGATATGGCCCTCCTTACCCAGGTCTAATTGGGACAGTGAGGCCCACTGTTGAGCAAAAGGAGAGCTGTTCAGTGATTGTTAATGAATTCCCCACAGGACTAACTCAGGCCCTCCCAGCAGTCCAGGGTGCCAACGTGAGGACTAAGGCTGCTACAGACATCCAGGGTGGGTAAGGACGCAGACCGCAGCTGCTTCAGGTGCTGTCAGGAGCCAGAAAATCCAGGAATGCAGTGGAGAAGAGGCGTGAGAAGCCAACTGGATTCAATGTCTCACCTTCAGGACACTCTTCTGACTCTGGGAAGCCCAGTCTTCTCAGGTGTATTCTACAACCCTGGCGGGTAAGTTGATGAGGAAGCCCAAACCACAAACAGATGCAGACTATATTAAAAAGAGTAAACTATTGTGAGGTAACAACTCACACTTTGGGCTTAATTTAAAATCCCAAGAGCAGGATAACAGCATTATAAATAACCTGATCTCTCTCAAACTGCTTTCTCCGGCTAGTTAATAATTATAAAAAGAGCTCTTTTTATTTTTTTTAGACTAGGTTTTAAAGTGTATGAGGCACTTTATATCCTTTGATCCTCAGAGCAATCCTGTGAGGTAGATACAAGTATCAACCCCATTCTTTAGCTGAGAAGAACTGAGGTTCAGAGAGTTTAAACAACTGTCCACTGGTCACACAGCAATTAGTGACTAGGACCGTCTGGGACCCTAATGTAGTACCAATTTGTCATCATCGGGAACAGCAATCAGAAACCTGGATTCTAACCCCTTAATAGCTGCTAGCTACTAAGGTGTATGATCTTGGATCTGTCACGTGCCCTTTCTGAGGTTTATTTTCTCACTTACAAAAGCGTACATCATAGTACCCTCCTCGTGAGCTTTATGGGGTGCTTAGGAGGACAAAACAGGGATTACGTGTGAAAGTGCTTTTTAATGGAGACGAAAATCCGCAGATGTCAGGTATGAGCAATCTCTTCTAACGAAGTAGGAAGAGTAGTACCCTCAGAATCTTTTTACTTTGACAGTGCCTTTCATTGCAGCCACTCAATAACTTTGCAGCGTATTATCGCCTGCATAACACCCCTGTGGTTACCATCTCTAAAGGTGCACACGCAGCAGCAGTGGGCCAGTGAGTGAGGAAGAAGCTCACTCTTCCCAGCAGGACTTCAGAGCACTGATTCTCAGTGTTTCAGCACATTGGAATCACCTGGGGGCTTTAAACATACGCGTGTCTAGACCCCAGTCTGTCCAACTAAAATTTTAATCTGGGGGGAACCAGCAGTTAGCGTAATGGCTGTGTCACTGGACTCCCACGTAGTCGGCCGCGGTTTGCGTCCCAGACCCGGTGGCTTAAAACTCCTGCCCGGCGCGTGTGCGTGCGTGCCCAAGATCCTGAGAGGAGAATGGAGGAGAAGGGATTGCGGCGTGACCATCCCTCCTGGGAGGTGATTTCTCGCTTTCTGTCTCTATGTCTCTGTCTGTCTGTTGAGCGCACGCGCCCTATAGTGAACACCTCTCAAAAAAAAAAAATTTTAATCTGGGGGGAACCAGCAGTTAGCGTAATGGCTGTGTCACTGGACTCCCACGTAGTCGGCCGCGGTTTGCGTCCCAGACCCGGTGGCTTAAAACTCCTGCCCGGCGCGTGTGCGTGCGTGCCCAAGATCCTGAGAGGAGAATGGAGGAGAAGGGATTGCGGCGTGACCATCCCTCCTGGGAGGTGATTTCTCGCTTTCTGTCTCTATGTCTCTGTCTGTCTGTTGAGCGCACGCGCCCTATAGTGAACACCTCTCAAAAAAAAAAAAATTTTAATCTGGGGTGGGGAAGGACCGGGCATTGGTATTTTCTAAAGCCTCCCAAGAGATTCTATTATAATATGCAGCCACAGCTGGGAACCACTGCTACTGAGATTATTGATGCATCTAGGTGGCTGCTGAAAGCCATCTTGGTTTTAAAAGGACATAGGACACAGCTTGTAGTTCTGGAGAAATCTATCCATCTCTTCCAGAGAGGGAAGTACTAAGGTAGGTCAGAGGTCACTTGGGAAAGAGATACAGGACATGGACATGGAGCTCCAACCACAGAGATCCAAAATCCCACCACCACATATGCAGCAGGCCTCCTGTCTGAACTGCCACCACTGGAGGGGAACATGGGCGGTATCTGTCTGGCGGATAAAATGTTGAACCGATAGCATAATCCCAAGCACTAGAGGGCCCTCTTCCCCATCACTGTTCCTCCTCTGCTTCTTCAGGAGCCAGCACATGGTGTAGTTGTTAAGGTACTGCACTCATACATGGCTCACCACAGTTTGAGTCCCAGACCCGACAGCTTGAAAATCACACTGGGCAAGTGTGTGTGCATGCCCAAAGTTCCAGCAGAAGAATGGAGGAGGGGGGACTCCAGTGTAGCTATTTCCCCTGGGGAGGAGGTGATTTCTCTCCCTACTTGGCCTCTTTCTGTCTCTCTCTGTTTCACTCTGAGTACATGTACCCTATGGCAAAAACCTTAAAGAAGGGGGTGGGTGGCTGGACGGTGTGCAGTGGTAATGTAATGGTCTGTGAGGCTGGCCCACTTGAGAAGGTTCTGAATTTGCATTTAGAGACCTGCCCAAACATGCTGGGTGCACACAGTCATGATCTGGGGCTGCCTGGGCCTGGGGGTAGATCACAGAGTGAAGACCCTATTGGAGCTGCCTGTCCCTCTCTCTCCCCTCTCTCTCTCACTTTCTCATGAAAGAGAGAAATAAACTTTAAAAGAACTTGCACAGTAACTTCCCTATGTTACAGTAATTTAAAAAACAACTTTATTTAAAAACGATCTCAGTCAGGGACCAGCCTGTGACATCGTGGTTAAGGTGGCTAGATCCCACATGTCTAACTGGCATTTTAAGCCCCGAAACTGGCACCTCAAAAAACACACTGGGTGCATGTGTGTGCATGCCCAGAATTTCAAAAAGAGGAATAATTGGAGAAGAGATTGTGATGTGACTATTTCCCATGGAGAATGGTTTTTCACTTTCTCTCTCTCCTCTCTCTCTCTCTCTCTCTCTCTCTGCCTCCAGTGAGAGCATGTGGTCACTGACAAATTAAAAAAAAAAAAATTCAGAGGATATGCATATAGCTAACTAGTGGCCAATCCTATAATTTTCTCCACTGATACTAAGGAAATAATCGTGTATCCTTTAACATTAACTTCTAACATTGAATCCCAATATACTTGCATGTTTTGCATTTCATTTCATTTTAGGGTTCACCCAAATAAGCACAAATTTACTTTATAAATATAAATGAGACATATTTCTTATCTATTAAAAAGTAGTTTTTAGTGAGAACATAGGTGTAGCTATTTAGCTCAAGTTTCCTAAAGAAGCTGTTATCAGGGAACCAGGAGATGGCACAATGGCTACGTTGCTGGACTCCCACGTAGTCGACCGCGGTTTGAGTCTTGGACTCGGTGGCTTAAACTCATGCCAAGCGTGTGTGCATGTGTGCCCAAGATCTTGAGAGGAGAATGGAGGAGAAGGGATTGCGGCGTGACCGTCCTCCGTAGGGGGTGATTTCTTTCTTTCTGTCTCTCTCTCTGTCTTTCTAGAGGGCTCCCTATAGCAAAACCTCTCCAAAAAAAAAAAAAGTAGCAGTAGCAGCTATTATCAGAAAATAGCTAAAATTCAGAGCTTACTATAATTAGGATTTTTAGACTTATTTCTTTAATTTATTATGATTATTATTAATTTGCTATAGGACATTTGTGTTTACCAGAGAGAGACAGACAAAGTGAGAAAGTAAGCCATCAGATTAGGAACTTGAACCACAGTCAGCCATGTGGGAGTCCAGCACCTTAACCACTACACCACCTGCTGGCTCCTATAATTAGGATTTGACTTTGTGTCTCCACAGGAAAGGAAATAACAATTCCTAATCTATTCACTTCCAACCAGAAAAGAAAAGAAAAAAAAAGAAAAAGGAAATTGACTTTTATTTATTTACAAAAGGAGAGATTTTTGCTATAGGGTGCATGTGCTCACCGGAGAGACAGAGAGAGAGAGAGAGAGAGAGAGAGAGAAATCACTCCCCACCCCCAGACAGGATGGCTGTGTTGCAATCCCTTCTCCTCCATTCTCCTCCTGGGATTTTGGGCACGCACGCACATGCGCCTGGCATGAGTTTCTAAGCCACTCGGTTCAGGACTTAAACCACGGTGACTACATGGGAGTCCAGCAATGCAGCCATTGTATCATCTGCTGGTCCCAAGGAATTGACTTTTGGGGATCCTTCCTCAGAACTGGCACTACCCAAAAGCGACATTCCTTTAAAATGTTTCCTTTAGTGACCAGCAGATGGCATAGCAGTTACATCACTGGACTCCCACATAGCCAACTGTGGCTCAAGTCCCAGACCCAGTGGCTTAAAACTCACACAGGGCATGTGTGCATGCCCAAGATCCCAAGAGGCAAATGGAGGAAAAGGGATTGCAGTGTGGCCATCTCCCTGGGAGGTGATTTCTCACTTTCTGTCTGTCTCTCTGGAGAGTGCACACATCCTATAGCAAAAATCTCTCCAAAATAAATAAATTAATTAAATGTTCCCTTTAGAAATTATCTCGAGGGCCGTCTCTATAGTCTAGTGACTAAGGGAGCCGGATCCAACATGGCTCACTGTGCTTCAAATCTTGGCCCCTTTGGCTTGAAACACCTGCCAGGCATGCATGCATGCATGCCCCAAATTCAGACAAGACAGAGCAATAGAGGAAAGGGGATTGTGGCGTGACTGCACCCCACTGGCGGGTTCTCTCTCTCTTTTGCAAGCGCACGTGTCCTCTAGCAATTAAAATATCTCGAGATGAGTTGCACTGTCTCATTTGATCATGTCTTTTATGAGCCTGGAAACAATTTGGATAGAGTTAACTCCTGTTACAAGACCTGGAGATTTAAATAATGAAGAGGTTTATCTCTCAACTGAAGAGTTTATAGTCCACAGCAATAGCCTGGAGATGAACACCCACACCTCCGGGATCCCACGAGGGTGGTAATTAGGCAGCATTTTATTGTGAAGCAGTGAGTGTGCAGAAGATGGAGCGGTACTACTCTCAGGGGCTTAGAAACAACACTGGCTTTCTGGAACATCAACAGAAGAAATCTGGCAACCTAAACATATTTAAAGAGCTTAGGACCCCCAGGGGAGAATTTCCAGCTATTGAAGTGGAAAAGATTAAGCACTTGCTACATTTGAAAACAAGATTTTTAATGAAAAACTCAACAAAGTGCACAGAGTTAGTATGGACTATCTTGAAAAAGTAATAGTTAAGATTAGACCTATCATATACAGACTAATCAAATTGGAAACTTTATATTTTTATAATGACCTAAGAACAAGGCTCTAAAAATAGACTCCACAGATAACGCACTCCTTTTTCTCTGAGTTCGTTAGAATATAGCACCTTCATTACATCAAGGACTTGTTCCATCTCACCATCTCTCAGGCATAAATCTTGACATGGGCTTCACCACCTTTCTTTCAGCCTCTAATTACAATTCTGCTATTTATTCCTCAACACGGGCTACATTTTCCATGTCCCTAATATGAATGAGGTGCGTGTTGCTGTGGTTAAGCCCGTGGGCACCAGGCCCAGCTGCCTGAAGTCTGGCGTTCTGACCTTGGCAGTGACTTCACCTCTTCGTGCCTTGATTCCCTTGGCTATAGAACAGGGATTACAATAGTACCAGTCTCTGGGTTCTCAGGAGGATTAAAGCAGTTATTACATGGGAAAGCACTAGGAAAAGTAAGAGCTGTATAAACTTTCACTATTATCACCACATGTTGCATTTCCCTTCGTGCCTATAAAAACAGCACATTTTTAAAACAAACAACAACAACAAAAACCAAGACATATAGTCTAACAAAAGATTGTTTTCAGATTCATGTGTTTATTTATGTGGAAAATCTCAAGATATCCTAAAATCCAAGAAGTGTTCCATAGTGTGGTCCCTGACCTCACGCAGTTTATATTCCACCTGAGAGACAGAACAGGACACGCAAGTCTAAGACAGTTTACGATTATGCATAAAGTGAGTAGTTCAGTTTTGTTGTTCATAAGAGCTACAAAAGTATGGAGGAGAAGGTCCGAGGGGATCAAGTCTTCCTTGCGTACGTGTAGTTGATAGAGAATTACATTCCAACCATGAAAGAGAGAGGCAGCCAGACAGTGGCACCGTGGTAATAGCTCCATGCTCTGAGGCTAGCAGAAAGTTCCCTGGTTCATATCTAGAGACTTCCCTGAACATCTTGGACATGACCCAGGGCTGGTTGAAGCTGGAGGTGGATCGTGGCATGAAGAGCCTATTTAGGGTAACCGTCTCTACCTGCATGTGTCTCTCTCTGTCCCTCTTTCTTTCTGTCTCTTACTCATGGAAGAAAGAACTATATCTAGAATTAATATAAATAATAAGTTTTGGAAAGATTTTTGCTGTAGGGCACAGGTGTTTGCCAGAGGGACAGAGAGTCAGAAAGCAAGAAATCACCCCACAAGGGGAATGGCCACACCATGGTCCCTTCTCCTCTTGAGATTCTAAGCATAAATGCAAACACACCCATGTGAGTTTCAAGCTGCCAGGTCTGAGTCTCAAACTGTGGTCACCATATGGGAATCCAAAGCCCTAACCACTATGCAACCTGCTGGCTCCTATAAATAATACATTTTGAAAAACAGAAAAAGAGGGAGAAGGGATTTCCTAGGGGGAAGAAAGTCATGAAGGTCAGGGCAAACAAATGGGGCCATTCATCTAGGACAGGTGATTTGTGTTTAAAATTTAGTGCAATAGGTTGATAAAGTTATTGTGGGAACAGGTCACATGGCTGAGAACTTCCAATGCCAGACTGAAGAGTCTGCCTTTGCCCTGAATGTTGAAGTTTAGTGTGTTAGAAAGTGAAATCAGTGCAGATGGAAACACAATAGGTTTGTGAGGGAGATACGAGAAATAAGAAAAGTTTAAAATGCTTTTCATACTAACCTCAGTATAACACGATGAGATTCCTACCAGGGCAGGACACTGGGAACAAAAAGAAGATGACAGCCATGAAAGCATGACAGCCTTGTCCCTTCACTCCTTCCTCACAGCCAAGATCTCCCCAAGACCAGCCTTTGCTACTGAGGACAACAGCCCAAGTTCAGGAGCACCAAGGCCTTTCCAAGGCTTCCCAAGACGCTGGGCTCCACGCTTCCTTCTCCGGTGCTAGAAGGGGACAAAGATCCCAGTGGTGGGGGCTCCGGCCTCAGGAAACTGTTCCAAGGTCCTAGGGGACTGTCTCATCCCGATTCCCATTTACTCTCTCTCACCTGTCTTGCACGTGTGTGCCCATTAGATTCCAAACAAAATCATATTCATGTCTTTCTCTCTCTAAAGGCCACAGTACTTTTAATGGGTGTAGAGTTTTTAAAAACTGGTTTTATTTGTATTGGTGAGTACTTTTAAATTAATAAGTATAATTTAGTAGTTTAAAAGGCAAAAAAAAAGAGTATATGCTTTAAATGGATACAGTTTATTATACTCAAATTATTCTTTAATAAAGTTCATAAGAAAATAGATAGGTTTGATGATCGAAAATAGAGAGGTGACTATTACAGCTTGCAGTTCAAATACAATGTTTAAATCACCTCTCACCTTAGTCCCAAGGTATTAACTATGACAGTTTTGAAGATTAGAGTCACATTATGTGTATGATAACATACCACATATTGGGTCACGGGGTCATTTCTTATGAAAGATTGACACAATGTAATAATCAGAACAACCAAGTTCTCTTACTATGAGAATCTGGGATGTGAAATTGCAGGTTATCTGCTTCTATTTAACAACTCATTGAAGTAGCCTTAGATGATAGCTTAAAGTGATTGTTCTAGATAACCTATTAAAATGCCTTTCAACTCAGCAACATAGTGTTACATGTTACTTAAAAACTTAGGGTTGTGTGCTGAATTTAATAACAGAGACAATGGCATATAGAGAAATACTACTCAGAGGGTTTTCTTTCAGTAAACAGTATCAAGGTCACGTGGGAGCTTCTGTTAGAAATTCTTGTGGCCCAGGGCTAGTAGGTGGCATGGTGGTTAAGGTGCCGGACTCCCACAGGAGCTTGCTTTCTTACTCTCCCTGTCTCTCTCTCTGTTTCTCTCTGATCAAATTAAAAAATAAATAATAACAAATAAAATTAAATAAATATTTTTTTAAAAAAAGAAAGAAATTCTTGTGCCCCATCTATGTCCTCCTGAGTCAGTGGGGAATGCAGAAGCTCTGCATATATGTGTGCATGTGCACACAGGTACACACATGTAAGCCGTGGTTCCCACCGAGGGTGGGAAACAGAAATGTAAAGCAAAGAGTCATATGGCTAAAAATAAGACAAATGTACTGTTTTTATAGTAATAAATATAGAATGTTCCTCTAATTGTTTTTAAATTTTAGAACTTAACTATTTCCAGTCAAATTACAGCAACATTTAGACATATACCTAAAATAATACCTTAAAACAATTTTCAAGAAGAAAAGAAAAAAAGAAAGGAAGGGAAGAGAATGAGGAACCCTAATTTAATTTTATTATATTGGTCTAAGCACCCAGTAACAAATACCTTACACTTTTACTAATACTGCTTACACTTTTACTAATACTGCTTCGGGGGAGTGAGAGTACCTTTAGAAGAAAATGGTTCTAGCAAGCTTCATTTATTTACATTTTTCTTCCTTCTTTCCTTTTATTCCTTTATTCCTTTTTTTCTTTCCACTTTTTCCTTTTAAAACATATTTATGTGTGAATTTATTTTTATCTTTTCCACGAGAGAGAGAGAGGCATCCTCAACAAGGGCTTTCATGCTGTGACTCACTCCCAGTCTCAGCCCGCCCAAGTCACTGGCATGTGCATGCATGCCCATCATGCTCAGGAAGGTCCTGGGACACAAACCCCAGACCTTTCCCATGTGTGTCTAGTTGCTACCACTGTGCCACCACCTGGCTCGTTTTACATTTTATAAAGCATACAAGATGTATGTTTGGGGACCTGGAATCTATTCACAATGTATAGTCTAACCCCACCATTACAGGAACCTCTTGGCATTGTCTCCAGGCAGCCTCTGCGGCAGCCTCTGTGACTGTCCTGCACTCTCCCTTGCAAACCTCCGCGCCTCCCCTCACACTTAGCATTCTGTCAGTGTGAACCTTCCTGACCCAAGGGTGCTTCACTACATCATGCTTCAGTGCCTTTGCATGTGCCCTTCCTTCTACCTGAAATCCCCTTCTCTGCTTCCCTAGGCCCAACCCTACCCAACCACCAAGCCTCAGGTCAGATGCTCTATCCTACAGAAGCTCCTTTCGACCATCAAAAACAGATTAAGCAGTTTCTTCTCCTGGATCTCTCATACACAAACACAATCACAGGAACATACACACACACCTTTGTACATGAAACCATTATAACCTTTATCTTCTTTCATTGCATAAATTTATATTAAAATTAATCTCTCTACTAGACACTGGACTAAGTCCCTTGAGGGCAAGAGTGATGTCTTCCCTTTGCATTCTCAACAGCTAGCTTATTGTCCAATAATAAGGTATTGTTTAATAAATAGATCAAATGAATGAATGAATTATGCCTGAACAAACGTCTATGAAGGGCCTTTAACAAATTTATAGAAAATGTGTACTGTGGGGACCAGCTGATGGCATTATGATTATGTTGCTGGACTCCCACATAGTCGACCATGCTTCAAATCCTGAACCTGGTGGGTTAAAACTCACACAGGGCGGGCCGAGCGAGCGAGGCGGCGGCGGGCGGAGTAGGCCCTGCGCCAGCCCACCCGCCCGGCTCTCCCGCCACCCCCCGGGGACC